TGAACGGATGATTGTCAGTGACCTTTTTCGGAGTGTACAACAGGGGTCTTCGGTTAGACAAAGCCCTGCCCACAAAGTAGTGAGACAGGGTAGAAGCCTAAAAACTGTTTACCGTATTATATATTCAATGAAGGAAGTAATTAATTAAATAGTTACTGTGGACTGGTTCCTAATTTGGGAAATCATTCGCCTATCGAGCATGGTTTTCACCTCCAGGGTGCTCGATGAGGCCAGTAACCATCACCAAAATGTTTACCGGAACCAGTTATTCTTTAATTACACACCTTAGTGACGAACAGTAGACGGAGNGAGGGAGGCCTCGCAGTCACGGGGACCTGCTGTTCAGTGACGGAAACCGGTAACCCAAGTTTCGGGACCTTGAGTGGTGAACCGCATAGAGCCTCACTGGGCTCGGTGGCATTGAACCGGACGACAGGAAAGCTGTTTAACAACAAAGTTGGATGACTAGGCTCAAACCTCTGATCACAGGGTCCAAGCACGCCGGCGATAGCGACTAAACCACTGCGCCACCAGCACCCTGAATGTCTTTCCGTAGATTTGAAATCAAATCTGATCAGCTCCTCAAAATGAGCCAGCTGCCAGTGGGTTATCTTCCATGCTATGACTCCAAATCTTCTTTTCACCCTCAGTTTAAAGAACACTAGCGGTAAGTGGTAAGACCATTTCAGCAGAGGCAAAACAAGACGCACATCATGAGGGACACAGCGAGGTATCGCCTAAATTCAGAAAACTAAAACTTTTCGATGGAACAAAATAAACAACCGTACATACGAGACCTTGCAGCAGATCGCAATTTTATTCCCAAGTACTTGTCACTAGTGAAGAACAGTTATTATTCGACATCTAAGGTCACATTCAGTCCAAAGATCCGACAAAAATGATCAATTACCGAAAAACATTCACTATTGAAAGGACATGCATTGGGAAAACGAATATTCACATTGTTAAATTCACAAGAAAGAAAAAGAATAGCATTTGCGAGAAAGATAAAGCTCTATGTACAGATAGATAGATAAGTGTTCAGTCATCTGTGGCGACTCTAGCACGTTGATCTCTTCGAGAGCTCAGTTTTTGTGTCCTCAATTTGAATGAATATGAGTTAGCTAGTCGACGCTGATCTCTGGCAGATCGACGATCAAGCATACTTGGAGTAACTAAAACAGGAGGGCCTAGGCCAAAGATCTCACGGACCTGAGTGTTTTGCTGCAGATGGCGGATGAGACCCCCTTTCAAAAGTGTGCACAAAATGTCATAACAAAAATGGTCTTCGCAAGATGCCAATACAAGTACCTCTGTTCCAAGATTCACTGAAGTTTCAGTTAAATCTGATTGGGTTACTGCATCTAGTATATCACGGAACGAATGCCGCTGACGCTTGCGATCGACTTTTGACCGAGACTTCGTTCCATCCGTCGCTAGTGAATTCAAAAGTCTTACAAGATCCGTATACGTAGGTCCCTTAAACCGTTCATCTACTTCATTGCGGATGCGTTCATAAATTAGGGCAGCAGTTTCGCCAGCCATGATGCGCATGTCAACATTATTCCCTTGCAGCAAACTGTTGATCGTAGGTAGCAGAGCTTTACCCGCAAGACCCACATCAGTGTCTGCCAAGAAAGTGAACAAGAGACCCCAAGCACGAAGAGCTGCCACATGTAAGGATTCTACTGCCGGGTCTAGATTTGGTGCTTTTCCATCACCTTTCAAACATGAACCTTTGAAAACCACTTCCAATGTTTTCATCAAGTCCAATGGTGAAACAGAATCACAGCTGCCAGCCAACAGCTGCATTACGGCCATTGTAATAGCACACGCAGAACGAAATGTGCATGGCGCGGAACAGTCCCGGAGTACTGTATCCAAGATGGGTGAAAACTTGATTAGCCAGTCAGAGATGTTGCAATCGCATTGAAGACAGAAAACAGCAAGGCATTCAGCTGCCAATGTCTGATCCTGATTCCTCCCTTTTTTCAGCACGTGCTCGATACCATCGATGAATGTACCGATGTAATTCCAGGTGTCGTCTAAGCACATGTAGTTCGTTCGAAAAGAGTTGATCAGGAAAGACAATGCTTTAACTCGCGTATCCGGTCTCTTTTCCGTTAACGCTTCGGCGGCTGCATTTACTCGGTCCAGCAGACAATGCAGAACGGCCGCATCGTCAACCTAAAGATAGGAAAGACAGGAGAGCAAACATTACGTAATGAGTGGTAAAGTATAGCTAAACGTCAAGCGACCATATGAAGTACAATATCCGTGCCATAGCATTTTACTGCACATTGATGGTTGCTCATACAACACTCACTGAGAGGTCAGTCAATAACTAATAGCGCAATAAATCTACATGTTGACCAACTTATATTGATTTTTTCATTGCACATTTCTGTGATGAACAGAAGACAGGCCAAACCCCATAATCATGAGATCCCTCTGCTCAGTTATGGAAACCGGCAACATAAGCCCCTGGACTCGGGGTGGCGAACTACATAATATTCAGCTAGGTTAGGTGGGGTATTCAATCGGACGACGGAAAAGCTGCCAACCACCAAGGAAAGGGGCGGTGGCGGGGCTCGAACCTCGGACCATAGGGTTCAAAAAACCGGTGACACCGACTAAACCAATGCACCACCACATTGTATGTTCGGCGAATAAATGCAATCACGGGAGTTCAACCCAGAAAGCCTTCTCCCGACTTAAACTATGACTTGAAGTCCTTACGCCGACAGTTTATCATCGTCATCATCATCATCATCATCGTACAGCGAAATACAGTGAGACGAACTTCACATATTATTGCAAAACTCGCAATGCACACAAGGTTAGTGGTAAAATTTAACGTGCATAGTAATTGGACTCACTTCGCGGGAAGGGGGAGAAAATGAACCGCTTTGGTCAGCACACAGAGTGCATAATTGAACTCTGCATACATACCGTTTCAAGCGTTCTGGCCTGATAAGAAATGAAAACAAGAACGCCGCTGCTGTCGGTTTGCTGCCATATTCTTCNCAGACAACCGGCTGTTGAGTCTTTTGGACCCCAACCTGGAAGACGAGAGACACCTAATCTACCCAATGGCTCTCTGCATTTCTTGATGCCTCGTCCCCAAGTTATCTGTTGAATTCCACGAGTTTCCTCCAGCTGGGAGTGGCTACAGCGAATAAAGCGCGGTGCGGCAGACGATGGCTGGGCATACGCAATACGTGTCCTAGCCAGCGAAGCCCACTAATCTGAATTCGGTGTGCTAGTAGGTTTATACCTGATAGACTCCCAAACACACGACTGCCTACCTCTACATTGCTAATCCGTTCACTCCATCCCACGTGGGCTAAACCGCGTGAACACCGATAATCGAAAACCCCTAGTCGATGGATATCTACTCGCGAATTCAAGGTCTCAACCATAAAGCAGAACTGAACGAACGTTAGCACAATATACACGACCTTTCAACTTTAGTGAAACATGGCGTCTACGCCAAAGGTGTTTCAGCTCTCTGTATGCTGCTCCAGTCTGGGAAATGCGAGTGGCTATTTCCTTTGCTGCGCTACCGTCATTGGTCACGCAGCTACCTAGGTAGGAAAAGTAATCCACCGTAACTAATTCCCGACCGTTTAGTTTCTGTGGGAGTAGGTGAAGCCCAGCCCTGGAGCATCACTTTGCACTTTGAAGGTGCAAAGTATAGACCGAACGTGGTAACTGTACTTGTTAGTCTATCAAGTGTGCTTTGAGCGTAATTCATACATTCGAACAGAGACGATATCATCGGCGTAGTCCAAATCGCACAGACGTACATTTGGAAGATCACTTAATGCGTTCTCCAGTATTTCGCCTACGACGAAATGGAACAGGTACGGCGAGGGAATTCTTGACGAATGCCGCTACTGGTGACAAATGGCTTACTTAGTTCATCATAGACCCTTACAAGATCGGAGGTGTGAGTAAAGTGACCTCAGTAAGTTGGCGTACTTCTGGGGCATTCCTGTTGGAAGAGGGGAGCCCATTCGAGCTCCCGGTCAACTGAGTCAGCAGTTAGGAGGGTTAGAATCTAGTCGAATCAGGTCGCGCTTTAACACGAAGGGCAAAAGAAGCGATTCGCTGTGGTCACACTAATGGGTGAGTTTTGGCCCGACTGACCACGTGTTTGTTTATAGCTTTAAGTTCGAGCGGTCTAAGAATCAGGGAAGTTACGCCACGATACTACCAATTATTTCGGCTTTCCAAATCAGCGGTGCGCAGACGTATAAATCAGGTGAAAAGTACAGGTGATAATTAAAGGCGATCCAGAAAACGGAAATCCAGGACTCAGGTGATTATTCAGAGCTCCCAAGCCTATCGCCGATAGTCTTGTTCAGTATCTGACATTGGTTATTGAGTATTGAGTATTTTTTTGCGTTCTTCTAAAGCAATGATCAAATTGATACACCGAATCTGTACCATCACAGAATACTTGAAATTAGAAGGATGACTGTTCGCCACTGATATGGATTAATATATATCATGTCTTACAGTCCTTTGAATCCAGATTGTGCGTCCAGCAAATCGCGGTGTAGAAATCTTTACAATAAAGAAATCAGGCTGAGTAATAACCAATCGGGTTTCCTGGACAAAAAATAAGGAGTATCTATCTCCCAATCACGATACATATACATATATTCTTGAGTAAAATTGTTCACTTTTCTTGACTTGATGAAGTACTTGCCTATAACCAAGTACGGTCAAAACATCTTTTGAAGGTGCTAAAGGATAGCACTTAAGCTGTTTAAGAGATCCTGAAACAAAATTTCGTTTCCGTACTCCAAGACACGACCGGCCGGAACAAAGTTAATTTTACCAAACCGGACCGTCATAACGAGTGCACGACTAGGTGGAAACCAAAGATAGATGTGATAGATGTCATCATCGTACAGCGGATAAACGCCCCCATAGCGAGCTGGTGAAACCAGACTACATCTAACTAACAATCACAGTGGGAAATAGAAGTCCCTCTTATACAGTCTTGAAAAAGAATTTACGTGTTTATTTTCACAATCACTGAGTGCTGTCTAGCGGTTGAGATGGATGCTATCGGTCACCTTAAAGATGGCAAATGACAAATTAATCCAGATGCCATGCAATGTGTGATGACATTCAAAACTCAAATGCGACCATTTTTCAAAAACAATGAATGGAAAAAGTCGATCTAGCTGACTTATGCTGACTTTTCGCAGTCCGTTGTTAGCTCGTTAGTAAGGAACCATGCCTAATGCGTGATTCCTGAGCTCTTCATCATTGAAAACAAAGTAGTTATGTCAACACCAACATAAAAGTCGGTATTCTATTCTGGAAATTCACATGCCCCCATCCGTAGC